CCTGACCCCAACGCAATCGGCAAACTGACCTCGCCCATCGGCATTACTTTGCCCCAATTAAAACCATAAAGAGTTGTGGCCACCGGCTTCAACTCCATGTTCAGCTCCTTGTTAATCTGCACAAAACAATCATAAAACTTCACGTCTACCAAACTCTTGGTATCAATGAACACTCTATTCACATTGAAACCCGCCACCTCCGCGGTAATCACCAAAGCATCATTATATGGCAACACTACTCCCTTAGCAACCTCCGCCCTAAAACTTATCTCTGGCATGCGAGCAGTAATTCTGACCTTCTCCCACTTTCTCTTCACTGCTCGAGCATGCTCTTTCCTGGCATTATTTGAGTCACCATCCGTCGGTCCTCGTGAAAGCATATAGATCTTCTCCCTCTTCAATGGTGCCTCACCTTCTTGCCCTCCGTTATCTTCGTCTCCCCGCCTCTGCTTCTTTCCTCGACCCTCTCTTCCTCCTCTCGACTCATCATCCCCCTCCTCATCTCGATCATTTCTCTCCTCTGAATCCTCTCGACACCTCATCTTTCCTCTTCTCTTTTCCCTATCAACAACCTACTTCAAATGCCCCGCTCGAATTAATCGCTCGATTTTATCCTTCGAATGCCTACAATTCTCCGTGGTATAGCCATAATCCCTTTGAAATCGACAATAGTGGTTCGACCTAGATCGAGTTGGACCCGTAAACCTCGTCTTTGGCCACGTCACATCCCCACTCTCTATCTTCTGCTCCATTGCCTCCAGCACCTCCCCCATATCTTTCCTCAAGGGTGTGAAATTGTGATACATCTGCCATTCGAATAGGAGTTGCCTCCCCTGCCATCGATCCTCCTGGTTTCCTTGCTTCGGGCCTCGCCCATCTCCTTTGGGCGATACTTTTTTCGGTCTGCCCCGCCTGGGCGAACTTCCTCTAGGCGATCTACCCCTCAGTGGGCTCCTTCCCTTATTTGGCTATGGTCGAGCAACTCCAGCTTGGCAAACTCCGCTTCCATCTCCTCTAGATTAATATACTTCTTACACCTCTTCAACACATCCTCATATGATCGAGCAGGGGTTTTTGCCAACGAAGTTCGACAGGGCCCTGCTCAAAGACTCCTTATCAATCCTCTTGTCTTCACCTCATCAGATGCAGAATGCACCTCCAAACATGTTTGATTATATCGAGCCACATACTTTCTCAACGACTCTTTCTCCCCTTGCTTTATTGTCATGAGGGTTAAATACGTCTTCTTCTGAGCCACTGCGCTTGAGTACTGATCGGTGAGCTTGCTGGCAAAGTCCTCAAAGTCTGCGATCGACCCTGGGGGCAGCTGATGAAACCAATCGAGTGCCCCTCCCCGCAAGGCCGATAAGAAAGCCCTGCAACATACATAATCAGAATATCCATGCAACACCGCTATATTTTATAAAGTTCTCACATGCCTCGACGGGTCAGATGACCCGTCAAACACCAAGTTGGTCTCCTAGAAATTGTTCAGCAATGGTGCGGCCAAAATTTCTCTCGAGAAAGGATGTCCTCGAGCCCTCCTGTCCTGCCTCCCTTCGACTTTGTCCTGCAAGCACAACTGCTCCGTCATCCTCTCCATCATACGATCCCTCACACCTCCTCCACCTCCATAGCTAGACACATCGTCCTCCTGAGTGTCGACCACCGTCGTCGGCGCAGTGGTAGCCTGGGATGTTTGGTGAGTAACCTGCCGCACCTCTTGCGCCGCCGCGTTGGCCATCATCCTTTGCATCTCCTTCCTCGTCATCGTCGCCATTTGCAGAGCAGGGGGTGGCGCCGCTCCTCCTGGTTGTCCTCCCGTTGGCGGCACCACCGTCTGCACCACCGGTCCTTCCTGCTGCGCCACGACTGGGTCTGCATGCAACGGCGTCAGAATCGCCATTTATGCTGCTCTACGAGCCTCCTGATCTCTGCTCGTGCCTTCTCCTCTACCTGGAATCGCTGATGAAACACACAAACCTTGAGGGTTAGATGTTGGGGTCACCGGTGTCTGCGATGGACCTGAGAAACCAGGTGGAGGGCCTATCCCGAAGGGTCTGGTCGTCGAACAGGCGTCATCGAACGACAACTGCAAGTTCATTCGAGGAATTTCGTCCGCCATAGCTGAGCTTCGAACACAACTTTTCCAACAGAGTTCTCACAGACGGCGCCAATAATGCAAGTGTGAGCGTCCTGGCCGATTTGGAATAGATCTCCTTTCGTCCTCGCCGGTAGAACGCTAGAAACCTGCAAATAACTCTCACACCGGGGGTTGTTCTGGTGAAGAGCCTCTGATGCCTAAGTCAGTATGTGTATATCTGAGTAGAATAATAGAAATCGTGTTAAGGAAGAAAGGCTCACCCACAGTTATATAAGGGTGAAATACCTGACCTAAAGGCTGCCCGGATTTGGTGAGCTGGCTGCCCCAGCTACCCGTCCGTACTTTGACATGCCGCGCGCATGTCAGATGTGATTGTCGCTATCAACCAATGCATTCTCGCCATGTGTCCTCTACACATGAGATAATTATTCCCCTGAAATTCTGTTAGAGGCTCTTACACGCGCCTGTGACTAGGTCGATCTCCAGAATACTGACAATTCATAAAGTGGTCGATCTATTGAGGTCGACTCGACTGCTCGATTGGTCGATCCTTCGACTACTTGTGATGCGATGTCTGTCCTAGAGTCTTCTAGGTCTTATCTTCAAGGTGTTCGACCATCATCATCTTGCTCGATTACCACTAGATTAGTTCCGCTTCCTCGCAGTACAACCCCTTTGACCGGTTCAGCAGACCGATTTACCCTTGCGGGTATAATATCCCATATCACACATAACGAACGCAAAATTGAAGTACGATAAAATGAATCAATCGAAAACAAAGTACATAAAAGACACGAAAATAAGTACAAAAACATAATAAACATCTGCACTTTAAACCTAAGGTGAAATATTTCATCTGGAGAGTTGGTATGATTTCATTGGGGTCAATAGGAATTTGAATACAAAGGGTTTAGAGGTAGATATTACTTGTAAGGTTTGTGGTGAGGAAGTAGAGGATTTAAACCATCTTTTGTTTTTTTGTTCAAAGTCAAAACTCTGTTGGAAGTTGAGTTGGTATATTGGAACTTAATGCAACACAAGAAAATAGATATTTAGATGTGGTGGATAGAAACTTGCTCAAAAGGAATGTCAAATAATCTGCAGTATAAGCTCACTTTATCTACATCTCTGATGGGGAATCTGTGTAAATCCAGATTGGATTCATGAGAAGGAATTAGTAGAAGGAGCCAAATTAGAATGGTTAGTCATAAAAGTTGCACCCTAGAAGAGAACCCTCTTCAGATGAAGTTCCAAAGACAATAGGCAGGCCTTGGCTGGCCGTCAGTGCTCATTTGTGTGATATTGGAAACATTGCAGTGGAGTGTGTTGCTGTTCAATCTAAAGACAACAAAATTAATTGGGAAGGATACATATCAGGCACTAACTGTGAAACTAAGCAACTTTGTGGGTTGTCAAATGGAGCCTGATGAAGCTCAAAGAACTTAAGTGGAGATCCTTCATATGCTACTTGAACAATGTTGTTGTTGTGAAAGCCATGATGAAAAATGCTCGTCTGTGGTTCATATGCTCCTCTTGTGGAGCAAGTTGTGTCTCTTTTAGTGGACTGTAATGTTGACCTTGTTGGTCTTTGTGGGGAAAAGTTTACTCTTTCTCGTCACCCTAATGTCATTCTTTGATTTCT